TAATGATGGAAATGAATGTCGAGTTGTTTGACTTGTGAACTTGCCCAGAAACACTGATAGAAAACAGGCATCTTAGTTTAGGCTTTGTCACTGTGTCTCTCAGTGGAAACACTATTCACTACTGCCCCCTGCTGCGAGCATAAATCTAACCTGGAGCCCAACACGTTCACCAGAGGTTGATCGGATTATCCTTCCTGTGTAGAAGTAAATAACATGTTACTTGTGTTGAGAAATATTCAGTAGAAGTACATTAGCAGCTCATTTGACCACAAATGGCCACTGAAAACGGATCACTGTGACATAATAGTGATTTTTCTTTCATGTAAATATTCTGCTACTCAGTAACGCTTTCTCAAGGTCGGATTTATGAAATAAAAGAAAATGTAATATCCACCCAAACAACACAGCTGTAACTCTATCATTTTTAATCAATTCCCAGAAGTATGGTGAAAGAAAAATCATCAAAAATGTGTGTATGTAAAAATAGAAAGAGCGTGAACATAGTTTAGTTAATAATTATGTGTAATTCGATTTCTTTCTGAGGATAATCTGTGCTATAGACTACCTGATCTGTCTCATATATTTAGTGGGAGAGCAATTTCAAAGGCTGGAGTCACTTTGTCCTCTCCATCCTCCATATGAAGTGTCTAAAAGGGTGAAAAACGAATGCATCTCTCGTGCCATCACCTGTACGTCTTAGTCAGCTGGATGGACGCCAGATTTTATGTTGTATTATCACTTTATGTTCATTGTTTTATGTGTGCGTGTTGGTTTGGTTAGATCCACCACTCTGGTCCAGAGTCAACAACTGCTGGATGGATTGCCATATAACTCTGTAAAGAGCATTCAGAGTCAAAGCACCGCTGTGCCTAACTACAGTGCAGCCTCACGGGGCTGCTAATGTGTCTGTTGACTCTTGTTATTATATGTTTTATGTGTCTTATTATGTTTTATTTTCAAGTCCCGGTGTGTTCGGTGCTTCACCTGGCTGCAAGACAAATCCCCTCTTCAGGACAATATAAAGTTGAAAGTAGCACACAGTAATGGACATGAATAAACATGAATAAACATGAATTATTTTTGCAATGCAGAGTAAGCCATTTCCTTACTCTGCCTATAACTGTTATTATCAACATGCTGGAGAAAATAAAGATTTAGGTAAGATGGAAGAAAGCATCCCTGCAGCTGCCTTTTTTTTTTATTTATTTATTTTTTTTAAATGCACCATGGTTTATGTAATGCAGATCCCCATTTGTCTATCTGAGCTGACATCAAGGACAACCTCTGATCTGTGTGGTTGAAGCAAGGAGCTGACATTGTCAGTTTCATAACTCATGACCCGTAGTGACAGATACACATGTCAGCACTTGTGCAAACACATCTGCCTCTAATACCACATCAGTCTTTCCTCCCCCGTCTCTCTCTCCCATAAACCTCTCTACCATTTAAGCTACAATTTAAATAAAAGAGCAGCTGGGACGTGGCAAATTTACTTCTAGATTTTTGCATCACTATCTCATTCTGTGTCATGTTTCTTCACATCCTCTCCCAACGCAGAGTGACCCAGCTCCTATTCTCCAGCCACAGCTCATTAATTGAGGGCAGGGAGACGCAGATTCGGCGGGACGGATCAGATCCTTGGAACTTTGCGACGTGCCGTATTGTGCTGGTGTTGCTGAACTGTGGAGGTAAGATAGCCGGTGGGCATGACTTGGATGGGGACCTTTCAAATCGAATCGCATCGCGTTTGGTCCCCGTCCCGGCCCCGCTATATCAGAACAGATAACGTGCTCCGGTAAAGGTTAAGACTCACAATGACATTTGTGTTGAGACCCAGCAATCCTTGAATCCTGTGGACTAATCTTGAATTCATACAAGTGTGTGCTTCTTTGTGTGCATCTGTGTGTGTGTGTGCATAGGCTGCATACTGTAGTTGTTTATAATAAAAGTTGGTAAATCAAATATAGCAGGAACAGACAGTCCATTAAGATAGTGAAATATGAGTCAAGAATCCCATTAAATCACATTCTGCCTTGATGTAGTTCGGTATCAGAGACCAGAACACTTTCCAGAGGCAGGAAATGACTGTTGCACCACTTTGATGACCTTATTCATACATAAAATAATATAAAGACGTGAAATCATCAGGGAAAATACATTATTTCCTGCTCTCTTGAAAACAGTTTTATTCAAAATGGATTCATTTTTTATAAATACACAGCGTATTAGGTTTTCTAAAGTGAAATGACTTTTAGACGGTGTCTAGAAAGGTAAGTTTGTTCTTTTTTCAGCTTCATCTGAGCTCAAATTAAATACAATTTAAAACAGCAACACTGTGTCTGACTTCTGTGTTTACGTGTGTGTGCGCACAGGCACTTGTGTTGTATATGTTGCATGTACATGTTGACAAATACATGCTTACAGCTATATTATAGTGAGTTATTAAGAGTGGTGGAATGTATTGTACTTTTGTACAAATCTGAGGTACTTGTACTTTACTATTCTCATTATGTTTAACTTTATACTTCTCAACAAATCTCAGAGGCAAAAAGTGTACTATTTTCTCCCCTACATTTATCTGACTTTAGATATTTTTCAGATTAGTTTTTTTCTACTCTTCCTGTCCAGTAAAATCCAAGCATCTCAAAATATGGTGATTTTGAATGTTGAATGTTTTGAATCTGAAGGATGAAGTGTTCCTTCTCCTATTCTGAAGCTAAATAAACAATTGTAATTCTGAACACATGCTTGTTTTATTTTTTAGAGATACGCTGTTCTTATAGAACAGCGATGCTACAATTATGGGATTAAAATTGAGTGTTGAAGTTTAGTGTTGCTAAACTCAACAACCTGTTTGTGGCGACAATACTTCTACTCTTCAATCCAACATGGAGACTGGGATCTATGGTGCTTTGTGAATAAAACCCCACTTTTCCATTTCTAAAACACCCACCTCATCGCTCTTCACATTAAAACCTAAAAATAATAATAATAATAATAATAATAATAATTACAAGTCATTATTAGTATTCTGTATTAAATTGAATCTGGTATCCAATCAGCAATTTCCCCGCTGAGGTGACCAGAGTGACACAGCAGTCTCCACTCTCGTAACAAAAGCATTTTTCTTCTGAGATCCACTTCATTACCCAGACTAATATGGAGCAAAATGTTTATTCAAATGAGCCAAGTTCAAATCCTTCAAACTGAATGAAGAAAATGCTGAAATGGATTATGTGCTTGCAGGAAGAAAAAAAATCATATTTGAATTAATTACAAACTGAAAGGGCGTCTGGGTTGAAAAAAAAAGCTCGTTCTCTTTCCATTTCCTTCGTTACTTTCTCATTAGCTTGCATTTATTTATTCACATAATCCGTCACCACCCAATGCCATCAATATGTGTCCATGAAACAGAAGGATAATTGCATTTTATCATGATCAACGGCAAGCATTGCGAGCCACTGATTGGCCATTGTTTTAAGGAACAGGCTCACGGTGAGCATTTGATTGGCCGCTGCCGGAGGAAAGACCTTCTCTTAGCGAATGATTGGGCAGTGTCATTTTCCACCTGAACGGCTCCTGGGGGGGCGCACGCACGCACGCGCGCGCACGCACGCACGCACACACACACACACACACACACACAGTTATTGTGTGACTGTGGCAGGAGCCACCTTTGTATCACCAGAGTGTGTGTGAATGGGAGTTGCTCTGAAATGGTAGGCCTATTCTCCGAGCGGGTCTTGATGGGGCGGGGATGGCGCGGTTTGCTGCCCATCTCAGGATAAGTTACATGGGACAGTCTGTCAGCTCACCTCTCATCAGGAGACATACCGCAGAGCAAGCAAATCCTCAACAGCAATAACACACACAGTCACTAAAACACACTGTGATCTGTTATTTAATTTTGCACATCCCTACAATCTGATATATCTACAAATGTATTGATAACCATCAGCTTGTCTGCATCCGTTCATTGCAGATCTCCGTCTCTTAAGACATATAGGACACTGTGACCTCCATCACAATTTTGTCTCTTCTGTCTTTTCATTTCACGTCTCCGATGCCCTGCTCTGATTTCATTTACGCACATGGAGATGTGATAAAAAGTGATTGAAGGACCCTTCTTCATCGGTCTTCACCCCCTACTCACTCACAATCAGTAGCTGTAAGTGTGAATTAGCGGCTTGTTATTCTTGCTCTTACAAAAAAAGTGCAGCTTACCATCTGACAGATGCATACAAATGATCGTGTGGAGCTGCTTTTCATAAAATCTTTTTACTTACAAACTGTCAAATTTCATTAGGGTTACAAGAATATTTCAACATTTTGGCACGAAGAAAAAAAAAAAAAAAAATCTGTCTCCCAGCCCCTCTAAAGCTCACAAATCAACATTTGCACGTTTAATCTGTACAAAAACCAGCAGAGTCTTCAAGACGTCACATTCGGCACATAATCACTTGGTAACAGTTTAGGATGAAACAAGGGTGACTGTAGGGTGACACCAAATAGTCGACTGATTCAATCTCACAGTTGAATCGTCACAGTGACGGAAAATGTGGTAAATAAACAAAGGCTCATTTATAAATAACATGGTTATTTCAAAATCAAAGAATAGGCCTGAATTTAGTATTCTGAGCACTCAAATAAGAACGTAGTACAATCAGAGTGCTCGATATTTAATTTTCTAAAATCATCTGGGGGAGGCCCATAGAAACAGCCGTTTGTGCTTCTCTCTCTCTCTCTCTCCTGTTGACTGTCTCTTAGCTTCCCTGTTGTTTCCCTTCTGTCTGTGCACAATGAGGAAAATAGATTTAGGACCGAAAGTTGGCAAGCAGGACAAGAAACCGTGTCTCTATGTCTCTGGATCTCCGCTACGTGTCAGTAGGCCGACTATAGACAACTACACACA